AAGATTCTAGGATTTTTGTATTGAAATCAACATTGAGCTAAAATGTTCCTCAAAAGAACATCCCTAAAAAATAGTTATGTCAAAATGGCCAACAAAATCTTCCTCACCTAATTGAGAAAAATGTTGGATCAAGCCAAAGGAGAATGGTAATATTGAAATTGCAATCGGTATCATCTTTTATTTTGATGTTCTATTTTAATTTGATTTATGTGTAATTTGATTTGTCGATGTTCGTAATTTGCATGAAAATTTATTATTTCGCTTATTCTATTGGATCTGTACCTTTGAGCTACCCTTTACATTCAATAAACTAGTTTTGGACCCATGGAAATGTATTTTCAGCCTAAGCAAATTGGTCTACGTCAATATGTTAAGTGTAGCTCAAATCACAAGTGAGAAAACTTAAAATAAGGTTTTATGAAGTTTGATTCAAATTTGTCCTTCTGGTGATTTGAATCAACCATCAACGGAAAATCTGGAATTTGGTTTTGTCATTCTGATTCAAATCAGTATTGTGTGTGATTTGAATCACAACATTCCTTGAATAGAATCACAAGACTTTTAATTTGAATCATGTCAACTCAAAATATTTTAAAATATAAATATCACTACTACAAAAAGCACGTTTTACCATGAATGAAGGTTTGTGGTAACAAATGGTGTGGTAGTATGTGCCCTTTTTACCACCACGGGCTGGAAACCATGGTAAAAAACATAATAGTGTGTAATGTATCATCACGATTGTAAAAAACAATCATAGTAAAAGGTGGAGGTCATGAGTTTGATACTGAGCACCTACATTTTACGATATTTTTCCACATTTCACCATGGTAGTACGTTCCAACCGTTGTGAAAGACTTAGCACACAAAATTTCACTATAATTGTAGCTTTCAACCATGGTGATATGTTTAATTGATTTTATTATAACTTATGTGAAATGCTTATTTCATCAACGATTCACTAAACATATAACATTTCAATATGATTTAGAAATTAATAATATGACAAGTTAAGTTATATTAGAAAAACAAGTTACATTAGTCAATATTTTTCGAGCTTTTTACAATCCATTATTCGTATCTCTTTTTTTAACAGTTAGAATTTGTTTTGATGCTTCTAATTCTTCAGCCAACACTTCCTTCTTTACTAGTTCATTATACATAGTATTAATTATTTTACAGACAAAACTAGTAGAAAAGGAAGTGAGGGCAGAAGAACTAGAAGTATTGAATCAAATGTTAATCGTCAAAGAGCAAGATACAAATAATGGATTGAGGAAAGCTCAAAAAAAATTATCAATGTAAGTTGTTTTCTAATATAACTTAATTTTTCATATTTTTTATTTTCTAATTCAATTTGAAAGTTTATATATTAAATGAGGGGTTGGTAAAACATTCAAACCACTTACAATATAATAAACTCATCTTTTATGAAATGTTGGTTGAATGAAATAAAAGTTGCAATGTACAAGGAATAACATTAACAATAACATACATATGCAAAAACATCATACAATAACACAAACAACAATATTTATCAACAAAAATAATAACTTACTTTAGCAAAACAACAAAACACCAATGTACCTAATAATAAACATATACAATAACACAAGCAAAATAATTTATCAACAAAAACAACAACTTACCTTAACAAAACAATAGTATACCTCAAAAAAAAACATCAACATACTTCAATAAAAACGTTTAAAATAGCACAAATAACAATATTTATCAACAATAACATCAATACCCTAACAAAACAACAACGTTTTTCAACAAAAACATCAACATACTTACTAAAAAAACATCTATAATAACACAAAGAACAACATTTTTTAACAAAACAATAACATACCTTAACAATAATTTTAACCTTTTGCTTATCTCAATAAAAACAATAAATATAAAACATATAACGTTGTCTTAACAACAAGAAAACAATAAACCATATGTTGAACAAATATAAGAGAAATGTTTTACGTATATTTTGAACAAGAAAAAAAAAAGCAAGATAAGTATTTTGAACAATAACATCATCATAACTCATAAAATGTATAGTGGAAAATGTTTCACAAACATACATTTCTTTTAAAGGATTCGTGGAAAATGAAGCCAAAGAAATGAGTTGCTTGTTTCGTCTTTCAAGAATCCGTAACATCTTTTCATGTTTCATACTAGTTGGAGGTTATGTTGGAGTTTTGTAAAGATATCATAGATTTTTGAGAGATTAGGAGAAAGTGGAGGGTTTCACTTTGAGCACAGTATGTTCTGATGTGAATAAAGTTAGCTTATATAGGTAAAATATTTCATTATGATTTTTCATCTTGATTGTGGTGAAAAGTGTTTAATTTTTATTTAAAAATAAAAATTAAGGAAACACACCCTTTTTATAACGAAAAAACATAAAATTATTGTCATTGAGATTTGAAGCATGACACTACTTCACATATCACAACGAATATTTACTTGGACTATGGTGATATGTAATTTTAAAACAAAAAAATAAAATAATAAAAGGTGCCTAATGAATATATATTACTTTTGTTGAATAAGTGGTTGTAGTAAGAAATTGTTACAAAATGTGTTTTTTGTAGTAGGGTATAATTTGAATCATGCTCTAGCTTGATTTAAATCAAAATATTTATTCAAATAAAATGTTAAATTCCTCATTTTACTACCTTAATTTAAGTCATTCTTTTTTTGATTCAAATCATAATCTCATGATTTGACTCGAATAATTTTGTTTTTTCTTCACCTCTTTTGTGCCAAAGCTATGGGACCTTTTTAAATCCTTTTAGTGTCACTTTCAAAAATTATGGTCATTATTATTTGTTGGACCATAAGGCATTAGGCTAGTGGGTTAATCTTGTTAATTAACCCAAGGATACTCTTAAAGAGAAAATGAGTCTCATAATAAGATTCTTTTAGAGTGAGATCTAGTAAGATCCATATTCATATTTTAAAAAAGCTTGAGAAAAACTATGAGAGTTTCTCCATTCACAAACACACTTCCTCCTTGATTCAACCTTTTGAAAAACTTTTTAAAATGTTGATATTGTAAGATCTAAGTTGTTTTGCGTGAGAATCTTTAGACACTTTTCATAATCTTCAACGTTGTGCTAAGAAACCATTGCGGTGATGCTCAACTTTAAAGATTGAGTGTGAGAGGTAGATCTAAGTTACATTAGGGAAGATAATCTTTTTTGTAAAGTTTTTTTTGTGTATCAGAAAAAGTAATTATTTTTTTCTAGGCTATTTGGTGGTGATCATTCAGGAAGAGAAGAGTTTCTCTATACTACATGGAAGACTTTTGTGGAACTGAGTAAAGGTTGTCACAAAACGAAGTTGGGAATTTTCTAGTCTTTCTTGGGTAGAACAATCGCTCATATAAGAAATCGGTAGATTCGAATAAGGTTTCTACAGAACGGAATCTTGGATCAGAATTATTACGTCTAAGAAGATCGTTGGATCAAGATTATTAAATATTTTGGATGTGTGTAGTTTGAGTAATCTTCTTCAACAGAAAGTAAAATCAATTTAGATATGTGCTAGATATAGTATTGAACTTGTAGTGTTCTGATTGTTGATAATCAGTTGTACCAAAATACTTGTATATTAACTTTACAAATATTGAAAGACCTTACCATTTTCAACTATGAAACTATTGAAGAGTGTACTAAGTTTTAGCAAAATGAATGACTTGAACCATTATACATCCGGCATACACATTTCTTCTCCCTATATTCTTTAATTTTTTTCATTTTATTGTATGCGTTAATTTGTTTATCTTTAGAATGTCATCTAGATTTTTTCATCTTGCTTATATGTTTTATCATATAAGTTTAGGTCTGGGATGTATCTAGTTCAATGAATATTGTATTCCTTGATTATAATTGTAAAGACTCTAATTTTAGATTAATCAATACTTGATATAAATCAATTTTGAGCTTTGTATAAAATTTTATTATGATCAATGTTGAATTGTTTGTCAAAGCAACTTCTTTTATCTCGATTATGTTGAACTTTGATTGTATCATGCATGATAGAATAAGAATCCATGAAAAATAGAAGTTTTAAATCATACAAATCATTTACCTATCATTGTATCATGCATGATAGAATAAGAATCCATGAAAAATAGAAGTTTTAAATCATACAAATCATTTACCTATCAGAGTAATCAGCACACATACACCATGTCAATGGGTGATCATGAAGGCCTGTGGCATAGAATTGTGACCTCCATTGCATTAAAGATGTGACCTCCATTGCATTAAAGATGTGTGTTTTCCTAAAGTTTGGTGGAGCCTACATCATAATTTGTTGAGAGGAGGGCTGCGTTCACGTGACCCCCACTAAGAAAAAAACACACATACGCCACTTACTATTTCATTTTTTTCACATGGACAAAATTTGACAACCAAAAGTGGTATGCTCTGGCTGCAGTTACAAAGTCATCCTATAAAAGGTCATCTACCAGTCACTCGGTGGCTTCGACCTTCTTAGGGAATTTATGTTTTCATTATTAAGACACATACGAGACACTCTTATAAATGGATAGGGAATGTCATACCACTTTGGGGATGATGATTATACACATCAGTGCAGCACTCAAGGCAAATAAGTATGTGTCTATTTTATATTAAAAATCTCTCAGGCTCTTCCATACTAAATTCTACGAGTAATTAAATAAATTTTTAAAAATACACTTTAATATAGATATTAACAATATTATCCAAAAATAAAATATAATTATTATGTTACATTTTTTTTCCGAGCATGCTCAGATTCAACACTACATTTTCTACATTTAAGATTTACCAAACAAAAAATTCAAAGTATGCACCAATAATATAAAACTGAAAAAATAATTTTATTTATACAAAATAGCATCTATTTATAATCATGAGTACATCAAATCACGGCACACCTTGTCAATTATATGATACATATGAAGTTCATTTTTCCCAGTAAACAAGAGGTTCATTGATGGAAGACTACATTTTTCTCAAGTTATCTAATCTTGCCTGTAAATCACTATCTATCCCGCCATCATCAGTCGCAGCACTTTCAGCTTGAGGTACCTTAGTCTTGGCAGCCGGGGCAGCAACGGCCGACGATGGTGCATTTACAAGCTGCACATCAAAACAAAAACTCGTAATGCAATTTTATAGTCACTACTAGTGTCATATACTTTCTGGTGAAAAGTAATGTTAAATTGGAAATAAGTAAGAAAAACATACCTCTTGGTTTATGTCGATTCCAATCTCATCGAGAACCTGGTTCACTAGATCGTCTGTTTCCTCTTCTTCTTCATCCCCCTCCAAAGCATCGTCTATTGCGTCTCCCATCACTTCCATTGTCAATTCCATCTTCTCATTCTGTCTCTCAAAATCTTGCATGATTTTTTGCAAATTTGGCAAGTTCATCTGCCTATTCATTTGCCCCATGGCCTTTGTCACACCTTTCATAGCCTCACCCATTGCTTGTGTTGATTTCAATGTCTGAAAAATTGTAGTACAAATTAAATAGTTTTCAGTAAACAAACCCTGCTTTGAGCCTTAGAACAGAATATTATCCAATAAAGACTATATATGCTACAACAAATAGTAACAATTACATACCTGAATTCTAAGTGATACACCTTGTAGCTGTGATTTTAGCTTGTAAAACTTTTCAATCTGATGCCTTGTTCTAACAAGATCTTTTGCCATGACTCTAACAGCTCCCTGAACAATATTACATGAAATACAAAAATGCCATTGATGAAATAAGTATGATATACCAAAAGGCTAAAACAGACGTTAACAATAAAGAACCAAAAATATATATGGCATTGCTGACAAAATTAGGTTTGGTTTAAAAATCAAAACTTGCTTGTGTAACAATATTGAAAGTAAACTACATTCATGATGCACAAACCAGTTCTACTATTTTATCTTACAATAACTCCATCAATCAAACTTTCACATTTCATTGTCATGCTACATTTTGAGGCAACTAAATTATCAAATTTGTGAAGTTCGTATGTCCACATGTCTTGTGTTTTAAGGGCAATTAGATTATAAACAATGTAATAGAGACAGTTGACATCATTGGAGTACCGCTTCGTAGGCTTAGCTCACAAATCTTACCTATATAGTAGCCCAATGCTAGAAACAGGCTTTAGGAAACAGACATTATGGTCTATCGTCTCAATATACCACCCATTGGATCCTAATATCAAACTGCTACTGAGGCAAGGGCTGCCATTAACAGACCCTGGGAAATATAGTCGTCTAAACAAAACAATCTAACATTAACTATACCAACAATTACTTGAGTCAGACAGTTGACAATCTAATCTCCTTTGGGATGTTGTGGCTCACATCTTTAGGCATATCGAGACTGCACTAGAAAAGGGTTAATTTGTTATACCAAAGGCAGGGCTGAAATTTTTGGTTGACCATCAGATAGAAGATCAACTTCAAGATATTGTTTGTACCTTTAGGGAGGAATCTTAATCCCAAGGAAAAAAAACTAGAAGCAAAACATTGTTTCTAGATCTAGAGCCAAAACAAATTACATGCTACAGCGACAACACGATGTGAACTTATGGGGCTAAAACAATTGTGTCAATTGGTTGATCCCTGACGTCATGAATATGAAGTTAATTTGTGACAGTCAAACTGCTCTAGATACTGTATTCAACTTGATTAGAAAACATGACAGCAAAACACAGTAAATGATTACTATTTTAAAAGGAAAAATAGTGTATTCAAAGGAGAAATCAGAAAGATGGTTTTGTAAAATGCAATGGCCATTTCGAAGATATATTTGGTAAACCTCCCAGAGGACTCCCAACTTTGTTTTTAACAAGCTTGGTGCATATGACATGTATGCTATAGTTTAAGGGGCTAGTTAGAATGTAAATATCACTCTTCATATGTACATTCTATCTTTTGCATATAAGGAATCTTGCTTACAAAATAGTGAATGTAATTACTCATACAACTAAGGTATTCATGTACAATCATGCATATAGAAACACACTTCACCAAAACCTTTTTTTAATGACAAATTGTTAGTGGTTAATTGTTAGTATATATTTACACCCTAGTCAGAACTTGAACCCTAGACCTCCAACTTTTTAACTCTTAACTCAACTGTATCAAGCCAGTTGAGCTACCCTCGCACCCCAGTTCACCAAAAACCTTGTTTTTGTGATTTACACTTTCTTTCTAACACAAGAGAGCTCGGAACCTCACTAGTTCCACAACAGTAAGCAACCAGAAACCCATTAGGTAAACATGGAGGGGAATTTTTTAGCTTCAATAGCTCTATGAAACAGTTTCACCAATAAAGAACATGAAGGGAACCATTCAAAGAAAATTGCAGAAAACCAAAAAATTATCATCTGGACAGCTAACACCTTAAGGCCCTATGCCTTTTTTCAAGAGCTGTAAACATCCAACCACTCATCTACCGCAATAATAAAGACTAGGTGTTATAAATTCAGAATAAAAACAACTAAACTACTATACTCTACATGTTACAGCCAATAATCTAAGAGTTAAATAACACAACCATGACATGATCACATTACCATCTGGCCTTGTTTAGCACTTTTCTTTATCTCCGCAATCAATTTCTTCTCTTGTGTCTGCAAACCTTGCCTCTCCCGCTCAATTTCCCTAATTGATTTGTCCAACATTCTCTTGTTTTCCCGCAAAAGCTCTGAAAGTAAAAAATAAAAAAATAAAAAAAATAATCATACACTACAAAAATTATTATGCGCACAATTTCATCTCGCGAAAAGTATATTCAAACCCTACCAAATCAATCAAAAGATGAATCAATACATGATGAAAACTAACGATCATCCTAGCCGAGATATCACAGTTCAAATCAAGTTAAATCTACAATATCAAAGGGATTTGATCGATAGTGAACAAACCTGCGGGTGTTTTTCGCTTTCCGAAGATGAAACTCATCGTGCTCGATCGAATCGGATGAATCGGAGATCGACGATGAGAAAACTAGAACTTTATGGGTTCCGACCGTGTTTTCCGATATATGGTTATTCGGCGTTTGGATTTGGCAGCGATGCTGGTTTTGATCGTCTAGTTTGCTTACGCGGTAAGCGTTGAAACAACGAATCATCGTGGAAACAATTCATTTTCATCTTTTCCCACACGTGCCATGATCCGTGTGAGATATTAGAATAATATTTTTGGAACATACTATAATTTTGAAATTAAAAAATTCCAATATAATCCACTCCTTAAATTAATCATTTGTAATTTGTTTGATTATATCTAAAAATAATTTTTAAAAAAATCATTTCATTCAAACATAAAAGTATGTATGGGATTTGATTATGTTTTGGGAAATTTAATTTAAACTATTTCAATTTAATTTATAATTTTATTGATATGCATTTTTAATGTAAATTTTTTTTTCATTATCACCTAATCAACATTGTGTATTTTGCCGTATCACACCGTAAAAAGTTATTGGTATGATATGACAGTTGATGAATTTTTAGTGTAAAATTTTTATAATATCAATGCGTATTAGTTATATTTTTTAATTTTATGTGATTTTATTTTAATTAATTTTTAAATATTCAAATTTCTAAATTATAACTTTCAATTAATAATAATCATTTAAATATGTGATAAAGTAATAAATTTGATATAAAACATGATTTATGATTAATTAAAATTTAATATAATATAATAAAAATCATCATTTATGATTGAAATATATCAAATATATAACATATTTATAAAAATAAAAAGTTTAAATTGTATTAAAAAAACTAGAGTAATGCAATACACTAATATATATATATATATATATATATATATATATATATATATATATATATATATATATATATATATATATATATATATATATATATATATATGGGTTCGACCTAGCAAACCCCACATGAGTTAGTTATAATACATCCACTTATTTTTCTCAAAGTGTGTTTTAGTAACATACACCTTAAGGTGCATTTAAGAATTTTTTATAGTTAAAACTTGTTAAAATAGATCATTATTAAGATAAGTAAATCTACATTAGCATATCTCATATATATATATATATATATATATATATATATATATATATATATATATATATATATATATATATATATATATATATATATATATATATATATATATATATATATATATATATATATATATATATATATATATATATATATATATATATATATATATATATATATATATATATGAACAAAAGTCTTACAATTTTGTAAGTAGTTTCCTTTGGTTTAATTCAATTTTGAAAGTTCAATTCAATGTGATTTAAAGTGATTTTCATAAAATGTCATCCAATTAAATCTAATAATATTAAATTTTGTGTAGTTTCTAGATTTTTATATTGGTTTGCAGTATTTATTTGCATTGTTTAAAATTTGAATAACCTTATTGACATACAAGCAAATTTTGAGTTAATGGATGGTTTCACATTTAATCCATAGTTAAGAAAAGACAGAGATTATAGAGTAAAATTAGTCTAGCTTAATCGTCTTTAATTCAATTTTGAAAGTTCAATTCAATGTGATTTAAAGTGATTTTCATAAAATGTCATCCAATTAAATCTAATAATATTAAATTTTGTGTAGTTTCTAGATTTTTATATTGGTTTGCAGTATTTATTTGCATTGTTTAAAATTTGAATAACCTTATTGACATACAAGCAAATTTTGAGTTAATGGATGGTTTCACATTTAATCCATAGTTAAGAAAAGACAGAGATTATAGAGTAAAATTAGTCTAGCTTAATCGTCGAGACTCTAAATTTAATCAAAAGTATAATAGAATTGTATAATTAGGCTTTATGACCACATTCCTTATTTGTGGAGCATTTAATTGAAGAAAGCAAGATGATGGAACCACCATCTAAGGGAGTTTTGTACACTTGTAGATAGGTTCAACGCAACTTGTCGAGAAACATGAAGCGGCAATCGAAAATGGATCGCCATGTATCTAACGCATGTTGCAAAGAATCATACATTACCCGCATAAATAGTTGAATGAGATAACATTTTATGTAGACCATGATGCTACGGCAAGTAGGATAGGTTCCTCTAAAAATATCATGGTATGTATTTGCCTAAAATCGAGCCATAAATCTTTTGTTATTTATCTACTTTGATTCCATATTAACTCTGATTCTCAATTTTTCAAATCTCTGAACTTCTTATTTTCTGACAATGAAAGGTTATAGAACCACTAAATTTGGTCCTCTAGTGAGGCAACTGATGCTTAAGCTACAAGAGATCCATCATCTCTTTCTCAAAATGGTGTTGATCAAATCATCACGAACATTTCAAAACATCTTGATCCCATTCGGCCTTCCACAGTCGTAGCATCTGCTTCATATTTTCAATAAGGTGAACTATTATTTAGGCTTCTAGAACCTCTGACGGTAACGATACTAGATACATTGTCTGGATTCCAGTTACTACAAGTTAATCTCGGCATGCCAATCGGGAACAGACTATTGAATAACGTGTATAACATGGTTTGGAAAAAAAACACGGAAGCAGTTGAAAAAAGTTTATTCATCTTGAAGAAAGCATGCACAACACGAATCTAAGAGGTAACATAGTGCCTAGAGGCACATGTTAAAGGATCAGTACGATCATCCCTGTATCGGTCGCATCTTGATGAGATACGACTCTGAGATCTTTGAATCATCAAGGGAGAAAAAGGTATCAGACTCCTCCTCACAATTTAGAAGGGGGTCGAGGTAGTCATGTTTGTAAGAACAAGATTTGGTTCTACATCTGGATATTAAGTTTTGATGATAATTGCATATGTTATCTAAGATAACAATTTTGTATGATATGGTTTCTGTTTAGTGTGTGGCTGTTGTCAATATGATTCTGACTCTGATAAGAAGGGGTGTGACCTCATGTGAAACTAGTCAAGTGAAACATAAATAAGTGAAGCATAGTAACTTAGTTGATCTTGATTGTTAAACTGGAATAAGTATTATTCACTCAAGAAGGAGTTAATCAAAAGAAGCTAAAAGATCATGATAAGAAGCCTTAGTGCTTATCAAGAAAGCTTCTAAGCAATACATAACTAATGTTTTATAATCTCTTGGAGATTAATTCTTTAGATAGTTTTGTGTATTAGAAAGTAAGGAGTTGATGCTCATAACTTTCTAGAAACACTTAGGTGTTATTGTACTTCATTTGTGTAATAATCTTATAAGAAGCATACTAGTACACATGTAAAATCCTTTTTCTAAAGGTGGCGTAAATCCTTGTTGAAGGTAGCTTGAGAAATCCTATCTATGGTGGCGTGAATCCTTGTTGAAGGTAGCAAGAAATTCCTTAGAAGGTAATGTTGATTCCTTGAGCGGTCGAGTGATGACCAGGATGCTTGAGAGGGCCAGGTCGTTATTGAATGGCTTGAAGGTTGATTCCTTGAGAGACGAATGAATGCCAGGATTCTCAAGAAGGCAATGGAGGGTATCTATTATGGTTGTAATCATGTTGATGATTATTGGATTAAGTCCTTGTGACAAGGAGAAATCACCTTGATGGAAGGACTGGAGTAACTTCGTTAACAGTGAACCAGGATAAAATAACTGTGTTCATTTATTTTATTTACTTATTAATGCAATTGGTTTAATTTCCGCAAATGGGAAAAAAATATGAAACCCAATTCAAACCCCCATTTCTTGTGTTTCTCAACCTTCAATTGGTATTAGAGCCCTAATTCTGTTATTAATGTTTATCAAACACTTAACCGTGTCAGATAAAGAACCGGACGAGTTTTGAGAAACGCTCTGGTTAATCTCCTTCACCATCTACAGTTTTAGTCTCATACAATGATGGAAGATTGAGTACTGAAATGACAAACCAGAAAGGTTCACTCTAGATTATGTCACCGACTCTTAAGAGCTGGTAGTTATTGACAATATAACTCTCTCTTATGATGCTCACAAAAAGATTGAAAGCAAGATAAAGAATCAACTGGTAAAAAGAAAATAGACTCATCAGATATTTGAAGAATCTGATTAATGCAATTTTTAGAATACGCTAGTTGAGAACTATGTATCTTCTCAAGGTGATGCATAGACAAGGCTTAAAAAGGATAATCTAGAAAAGAATAAAAAAGAATTATCATAAAGCAAGAAATCTTATTTGCTGAAAGTTATTCTTTCTAAGTATGGGATGTTTTCAACAATCAGACTTGATCTACCATTGACTTTCTCAATATTGCTCATTAGGAACTCTTTCATGCAAAGGAGAGAAAATGTTGAAGTCATTATTCTAAAGCATGAACACTTCAAGATGAAGTATGCTGAAGATGTTAGAAATCTTGTCATTAAGATTTTAAATCATGACTGCCGAATTTAAGATTCTGAATGATGATTTCTTTGTCAGAATTCCTGAAGAAGATGATCCAAAGCTTGATATTTGAATAGAAGCTTATATCAACTAATCAAGCATGCAGAAGATCTGGAGTAAAGCCTCTCTTAAAGAACTGAAGATATGAGCTAAATAGTATAACTCAGAAAAGAAGGAAATTGTTTTGCTTCAATCAGTTAGAAGCTAAAGAGATCAGAAGAGAAAGACAAAATTCTACTTTTAGTTAGAAGACAAAGAAAGTATTTCTTTCTTCAAAAGGACAAAGCCTAAGAAGAAAGCATGAGATGCTTAAAAGAAATGGTTGAAGAATACACAGTGTGTTTCTATGTTCTTAGAAGGTGCTGCAAAAGAAGAATAAACTAACATATCATTCTTAGCTAATGTTAGAACACCCAATGCAGAGGATATCTCTAGAAGATAAAGTAGTTTCTTATGCAACCAAAACTATCTTTAATGCAGACGCTCTTAGTGGTGTAGTCAAAACAATAGCTGTATTATCAAGATTCTGATTGTCCATATATGATGAAGTCATCTACTCCATTTTTGGAAAAGCTTCAC